TTGCTCTTACATCTGTACATTTGTAACAGAGTCTGATTGATTTTTCAACCGTTTATATGTATAAGTGTTCAGAAACCAATTTCTGTCTCTTGTTTGTCAATAAGTCATTATTGTTGCATTTGATACTCCTTTGCTTTGTATTTTACTTGACATGAAAAGTGTACCTTTTTGTAAATGAATCTCCAATGGAATATAAAATAATGAGATATCCAATTAAGACTTCCTTTAACTTATTTTGTTTACAGCAAACCGGAAATCTAATTGTACATTACTTAGTACATGTAATTCACATTTGGTCAGTGCACTTTACAGAAATTTATTTTCTTTTAAGATACCTTCATTCCGTTTTAATTTTCGGACATATTTAATAAAAGTCTTTTATGGCTTTTTATCTATTGTATAAAACTATTTGCTCTATAAAGTTTTCTTTAAATAATGATGAAAAAGTTCACGGTCATAATTTTGTAAGATAACATTACAATATAAATGATGAAGAAGTTCACGGTCATAATTTTATAAGATAACGTTGCAATAAATATCTTATAAGGGTTTAACGGAAACACGCCTAAGGTCGTGAGGAGTGTTACTGTTCTTTTTTAATGTTCGAAGAAATGTTTTGTATCCGGTATATGATATATATGACAAAGTACTTTAGACTTTCATCTTCAATATGACCATTATCTAATGTTAAAAGAAAATATTCTGATCAGGCTTTATCTCAAGTTTTAGTGAAATTTTAGTACTGTGCACTCACTTATCCAAATCTGTTTTTGTTAAGAATTACATGATTTACATCTATACCAACACCCATTAATAACATGTTTGTCGAGGACCCATTTTATATAATTACCATCAACCAAAAAGTTTGTATATATCGTGTGAAAAATCTAGTCCTAATATTACTATATACACTGTTGTACCCTGATTTATTTCATTGTACAAGTTCTTTAAAATGAAAACAACACTTTGTAAATTTCGTGCGTTCAAAGTGTTTAACAAAATGAATCTATTTTGAGACCATATAAACGTTCAGGACTCTTTGTATACGTGTATCTATACTTATTTAAGTGCATGTGTTCATTCGATGATTTAATTAATTTCAGAAACTATAGAAAAATGCTTTTTTACATATAAGATATCAATTTATTATCCGTGACGTGTTAATTGATCTGTCATATGTCTTGATGGAGGGGTCGCTTATCTCCAATGAATACGTTTTTTGGAGTATTGTCATTCGTTGCATTTTTTACAGGACCAGATACCGGAGGTTAAAGTATTACTATTAATAATTCAGTGGATATAGTTGTTTACTGTTTTTCTTTTTGCAACAATAATATACATCAAAATATCATTAAAACTTGTTCTACTATCTCAACATGTCATCAAAGCTGTCAATTTGATTGAATTCACAAAGCAAAACAAAAATTCATTTGGCAGATAAAATCTAGAAATATCACACCATAATACAAATTTTATTGAAATTATCCACAAAAAGAAACCGTCATTTCAACTAAATGTTATGCATCATTGCAAATGAACATTTGTAACAATGCAGTTGGAAATAAAACGGTTTTATTATTCAAAATTAGAAAATAATGCCTTTAATTCATTTGGTATGCGGCTACATCTATATTTTGTTCTTGATTAATCTGAAAATCCTATTCGTATTTTCTCTTGTTACTCGCCATTCTTAATTTAACAATAGACTTCTAACCATGTATCAAAACAAGTCAGAAGAATTGTATTTATCAAAGTCAATTATGAGATGAATGAGACTCAATGTTTCGACCTGAATATTTGTAAATCAGATTGTTAACAACAGTAGCATTTGCATTTTCGACATTTTTTGGCTTAAGTAACAATTGTGCCGGTACATTGCTCAGTTTTGTGTCTTTTTAAATGACTGCAATCAATTATTTAACGCTTCATCAAAATCTAACTGAAATTTCCATGGTAATTAACAACAAAAATGTCTGTTGAGATTTGCTATAGTTAACATTTTCAATATTTTGAAGTCTTTCCATGTTGTCGAATTCAACTTTAAAAAAGCTCTTTTGTGTTTTTTTTCTTCTGGAAAATGAAAAACAATACAAAAAGCATGTAGCAGACACAGCTAAGAAGTACACATTATCCTTGGTGATATTTAAAAATTTATAGTTCCCACTAAAAAGAAGTTTGATATACATGTATTGTTCTGCTTATAATAATTTCAATAGCGCACATAGCAAAATTGCTAACAAAATATATCAACTAAATAATTATAATGACCGCTTAAAAGCTTGAATAAGTATAAGCTGGTAGGTTAATGGTAATGGTTTTATCTTAGTTAAGTACTTATATAATAAGTGAAATACAGAAAGGGCCATCTTCCATTTGGATAACTCGTTTCTGATAGTTTTTTGTTGCGATTTTTCAAACTCGGCCATCAAAAGCTTCAAACAGAAGTCAAATTAAACTGTACCGAAGCATCAAGTAAAGGGTCTTCCTGACAGTTTTGTTGAATAAACTGCACATTCGTTAACGTTTGGGGTTGATATTTCTACAAATAGTCGGTATTCCAGTGGGTAATAATTGTGCACCCCTAGTTACCGACTAATGTTGCTTTTATATTCACATAAATCGGAATTCTCACAAAAGCTTCGGTAAACAACCGTTTCCTTTATGAGATTTTTTATTCGTTTTAGAACACATTATTCTTTTTTCGTAGGAAGATCACTAAGGCAAGATAAAATATAGTCAACATGGTATAAGCAACTGGGTAAGTACTACTGGTTCAATTTTTACTGTTTTTATTTTATTATAACTAAATCTAATAACTATCACATGGTCATTGACCAAGAGGTATTACTGATCATATATGCATGTAAATACTTATATGCATTCCCTCTTACAACTGTTGACAGCTATAGTATATGGTCAGTGGAAAGATTATCACTCCATTATTTTTTTTATTTAAACAGTCAGGGTAATATATAAATTATTCTCACGTGATTCTCATCTTTTATCGTCAAGGAAAACAGGGACATTGACCAACAAGGACATTGGTCAGTAAATATATCAGAAGGTGAGCGAAAGGTCAGCAACATCAACAAGAGGTCTACAAAGTACCGAACAAGCAAAGTATAGATAGCCTCCAAACGGAAAATTTATGTTAGAAACCTAAAATTAAATCTAGAAAGACCGCAAACAGATTATGTATGTATTTGAATTAAGGTGTCGTAATAACAGTGGTTAGTTTTTGTTAAATGACATCAGTTTCAAAACGAATTTAGAAATACATGTTCTGGAATTCTCACACAAATATAGCAACTGAAAACCAAACCTAGAAAGGTAAATCCTAATAAAGTAAGATGAGTATCAAAGCAGCCAAAGGATCAACGAAGCAAGTAAAAGAAACCAGAAAAGTTCGGAAGCAGAACGTAAATATCGGGAGAGTGTCGAAGCAAAAAGCAATGATTAGTAGAATATCGAAACATAAAGGATAGTTTGACGAGTATCCGTATCAGCAAAAATGTGATTATAATAGTACCGAAAATGAAGTAGTTATTAAAAGAGAACCAAAAAAAAGCAGTGGAGAAGAAGAGTACTGAAGAAGCAAGTAGATTCATTCGTCTCACCACGGTCGATTCCGTTCATCAATCTATCCTAGAAGTAGAGTAGCGGATTCACACGAAGATTGACGATTGGTATAGATTAGAATACCGAACCGAAATGTAGGACTAGAAGAGAACCGAATCTTGAAGAATGTCAGAATAGACAAGTACACAACACTAAGATGAAAAAAAGCCATTTTTGTCAGGTTACCGAATAGGTTATCTACCTTTATAGGACCTATAACACTTTGTCACAAGAGCACTTAAGTATGAAAGTTAGTATCACCTAACATACACTAGAAATAGAATGTGCCTTTACAAATTAAACCTTTAATTACAACCAAAGATATTACGTTACTGGATAAAAGGGACATATATTTTAATGACTAATTTTATGGTACTTTTAGTATTGAAAATCATCAGCGTTTATCTAAATGTACACATATATTAAGATAAAGCAAGATTTACACCAGATTTTGAATTAATAATTACAAATATAACTGAAGTGAAATGATTTGTTTAATGTAGGTAACAATAATACAGTGTTGAATTCAAAGGCGTAATTTTTATTTGCACCTGCAGTTTTATATTTTTGGCGATTTTAATTTTTCGTATGATTTTTTTTAACAAATGACTTATTAGTACTTTAAATGATTTTAAAATGAAAATTACACTTTATAATTTTGGTGCGTCCGAAGCGCTTTTCTTGAATTATCTTCATCGGGAAAGCTCAATACAAAAAATATGAAAATACTTTTAAAAGACTAGTATAGAAGACACTTTACCCGATAGTATATGAGATTTACTATTAAGTTAGAATAAAGTCAAACTCGTAAAAATCTGATTAAGTCATTGCATATACATATTATATGAAAATAAAAATTAAATAGAATGGATGTTGACAAGACCATATAGTTGAAACAGTTTGGTATATCCAGTTGAATGTCACCAACGCTACCTCATTCTTCAAAGCGTATTCTCATCGGTAAGACATTTATGAATATCGTTCAAAACCGTTTCAGTGGACACGACGCATTTTTCTGTTTGAACTGTTACACATTTTGTCATGTCGGGGCCTTTTATGGCTTGCTATACGGTATTGGTTTGGCTAACTATTGAAGGTAATGTATGGAAATTGCTTACATCCACTTCTTTTGGCCTCTGGTGGACTGTTGGAAATCATAGCTCATACATCTCCTGATTTTAATGACATACTGCATTTGTTTATAATACCTGTACTGTCCAGTAGAAATTATGTATGTTATTTCATGTTTATCTACCTTACTCTGTAAAAATCGCATATACTTATAATTTATATAATATTCAGTGTGTATGCTGCTGAATGTTTCGCAAAATGAAATCAAAAAACAAAATCAAAATTAAAACAAAGACAAAACTGCAATTTACCTTTTCTCCTGTAAGAATATGCATGGCCTCCTTTACTTTAGCAAAAGATCCTTCACCAATTGATTTCCCAAGAAGATAATTCCCAACTTTTTTAGAATGTTGAAAACTAAGAATCACATCCCTTGGAACTTCAGTGACTTTTCTCGGCAAAAAGCCTGCTGAATCAATCATATCTGTAATAATCGTCATCCTCACCAACTAACTATATTGCAAATTATTCTACAATAAAAAAAGTTTCAAATTAAAATTTAAATTTTTTTTAAATATTAGCTTTGATATTTATTTTTCAAACATCAATGCAATGTAGAACACCGTTATTCTTTTTTATTGTTTAATTTATCAATGGACGGCTTCGACATTCTGTAACCTTTAAAAGATTTATTTTCCAACGGATGTTTAATCTATACCTGTTACTTGTACCAGTTTTATCCAAATATTTGCAAGGCCGTAATTGTATTCTTATATAGGTATGTTCATTATTTATCATATATTACCCTTACCTGAGAAATCTTGAGATCAGACTGAAAGGAAACGTCAATTTCTGTAGGTATTTACGATGGTTCAGTTTGTAGATCACAGGTCGACAATACACAAAGTGGACTAGTGTTTACTTTATTAATATAAAAGGGGAATATTGTTATTTCATAAAATGTGCACTGTAATTGCACATTTTCTCGGGCGTGACTTTTTAAACATCGAACAAAGACTTTCTTCAACATGCAAATTTTTGGCCGTTATTAAGTGATAGTAAAGAGAGATGAAGTGAAAACACAATGCATTCTTTTCATACATGAATTTAGATAGATGCTTTATTAGTTGAGAAATGTTTTATGTATTTAAATGACGAAAATATCGCATGAAATGAAAAAAAGACGCATGATGAATTATAAGGATAACTATTTAATAAAGATTTAAAATGAAATTGATGTGGATAATGAAAAGGTCTTGAATGTTTATTTTAGGATTATTTAACGCCTGATTTAGACTTAATGACTTCATTTATATGTAAAATGATCTGCCTGATCGAATGAGAATAATGTTTACAATACAGATATTATGCCATATTTTTCAAAATCAATTAATGGTATAAGATGATTATTCATAATTGAATTGATATACAAACATTTCTTCACTCCAACTCTGTGGCGTAAGCCCTGGTTCAGCAGTGTTTTGTTCACTTTGACATTTTTGAAGTAGTTATTGTTTTTATTGTACAAATTCATTGTTTTAGGTTGAATATTTATGGTTGTGTCCAGATATTTTATCGCATTTTAGAATTCAAGGAGTCGGTAGAATACAGTTTGCATAAAGTTTCCACAGTTTCATTTACTGACCAGCTATGGGTGCCGCTAGCTGAACAGATACTACCATGGGTTATTTATGATGATAGAGTTTGTTATTCATTTACTGACCAGCTACAGGTGCCATTAGCTGAACAGATACTACTACCATGGGGTATTTATGATGGTGTAGTTTGTCATTCATTTACTGACCAGCTACAGGTGTTCTAGCTGAACAAATACTACCACGGGGTTTTTATGATGGTACAGTTTGTTATTCATTTACTGACCAGCTAAGGGTGCCACTAGCTGAACAGATACTACCATGGGGTTTTTATGATGGTACAGTTTGTTAAGACGTACTACATACACTATCTTAGACTTCGATCAACTAATTTTTCTTCTTTATCTGTTTTACATTGTTAATATGGGAGGACGGACATTCGGCTATATATAGCTACCGAAATAGATAATAAGCACTCTCTTTCATCAAATTACTAAAATAAGCTCTCGCGGCACTATATATTTTGCTCCAAACAGTGTAAAGCAAAAAACCAATCAATCAATAAACCAGCGCATGCAGTATATAATAAAGCACTTAGATTAAAATTCAATTGTGTGTCGCTTGAATAGTCAAAGTTTTGATACTACGAGACCTGTTGTCGATCGAAATAAATGTTTGAATATAATTGAACGTTTTGGAAATGATATCTGGAGTTTTATCCACACTTTATCAATCTTGTGCATAATTCAAAGTAGCGATCATGATTTTTTTAGTTAGATTATTATATAAAAGATGAACTCTAGATGGATGAATTCAGTAAATAAATATACTACATTATCAAGGACCGCCAATTTGAGGGAGAGCTTTCTTGATACTAGTAACACTGAAGACCTGTGTGCTCAACTGAGAGTACGATAACGTTTTTAATGAATATTTTTTTATAAGATTGACAAAAATTAGGGTTAAAAAATGAGTGCACTTAATTTATTTTACTGTAGATTTGAAAGTAAAAGGGGTCAGTGAGGAATTAATTCCCAATCTACAGTAAACAAGGCGATGTGATTGACCCATAAATGCCGCATGACTGACCCTATTTTTTTGTTTGTTGCAAAATATGGGAAAACATTTGTACGTTAACGAATGACACATGAAAGCTTCTAATTTCTAACTTATAAATTTCATTAAAAAATGGGTTTGCTGAATTTATTCCTAGATTACCTACTACCCAACAATTAACAAAGTACATTCGTAAATGTTGTATTAAAAAAATGAATTCAACGACACATTTGTTTGTATAATTTTTATTGGTCGATACCATCAGTCTTCATTGCAGCAGCTTGAGTTATAAAGCGTGGTAAATTGAGTAATGAAATATAAGAGTGCTGTTCCCCATTTTGTATCAACCCTTGAACTTATTTGATAACATGCGAATTAATCATCATCAGCAAATTATTTGTACAAATGATTTAATAGATACGATCAAAATAATCCTAACAAAATGAAAATATCAATAGAAATCCTTGAAAAACACTTGTTTTGAACAACATTTGCAAATCACGTCGCTTTTGTTGTCATATGCCAATGTGCTCGAAAAAAAGCAACTATAGTATAATTCGAGCAAAACAAATGATTTGATTTTTTTAAATATTTTTTAAAATTATAATTGCAAATATTTCACGCAGCATATTGAGAGCAAAAAGAATAGATCAGTCAGATATTCTGCAAAGGTGGGTCGGCTTGAAATCCCACGTATAAAGCAGAGTATGTTAAGTAGGGCAGCAATTTTCTACTGGACAACCACGGGGCCCTTGGAAAGTTCGCATGGGTTATTTAAACCGCTGATGACGAAGTAGTAATTTAACATTTGACATAGCATTTACACGCACAACCAAATAGATTTATCCTTTCGGAACGGTTTAGGTAGGTCCTTTCGGACATTACTTGGGAAGTCTACTTGACAATATTTCTACACCTAAGACCTATTAGATACAAACATTAGTGTGGGTCCATTTAACAGATCAGATGACACGTTTCCTTACCATGAATGTGTATTCTTTACAAAAACTCCTTTAAAATTTTTAATACAGGCTTGTTAAATTGGTAGAATAACGCCACTCAATATTTAATTTTTAGTGAATTGTTTTGCGGACGCTTTTTTAAAACCTGATATTGTCTGTTTTTCTAGACTGAGGATTTTGTTTTGCCGTATTGTATCTTATCATAAGAAGAGTTGTTAAGATCAAAATGACCGTTTAACTTAAAGATGCTGCTTATGTTAACTTTATACATTTTATGAAAATTTAATTTTACTTTACTCTGCTGGGATTTTTTTTATTTCCTGAAGTTTTGCATTCAATGAAGAAATATGTCATATGGGGAAAGAGGAAAACGTTTGGCCTTTACTTGTAATTGTAAAACGTAATTGTTAAACAAAGTGATAATTTAGGATAAAAACTTTCAAGAAAATTAATAAACCATCATTTGAGTTCATAATTGGTTGTGTTTGGGCGGGTTCATCAACAGCGTTTACCTACAATACGTTTCGCGCGTGTATGTTTATTCTATTTGGTCTTCATTAACAGGGGTGTACTCCTTTTAAGGTGGTACATAACACTACAGGGAGATAACTCTTTAAAAATCAGCTGAATGTTTTAATCACGTTCTATTGTTAAGGAAATATTAAGCTTCTCAATGATCAAAATTAGTGTTTGTCAAACTGCTATATATCCAATGAATTTTTTCCGATAAAGTGTTCGGTTTAAGTTATTGAAAATTTTATATTTTTGTCAAAGGGTCAAATTAAATATTTTGTCAAAATTTTATGAAAATTAAACGAGCCAAATTAATTTTAGTTAAGGTGTTTGGTACCACTTTATAAATAAAACATGAGGAAGAACACCTGAAATCGCTACTACATGAGTTTTACGGTCACCATCTCGAATTGATTGTCCGATACGATGTGATTATGTCTCAACTCACTAGCCACATGTTTTCGCGGTTTTAAATTTCAGGTACCAAAACAGTCGTCTGCATTGTAATTTTACCGATTTTGTCATTTTAACTGAGACACATGGCGGGAAGTGTATGCATATGAAGAGACGCTAACCCTGTCGACGCACCCGGTATCGCTCCTTTTGAAGTTACTCAGTTTTGCGCATGTTATTTTGATTTGTATCTCCTTAATTGATTTTTTTTAGATTTCAATAAACTACTGCTGCCTATACATTTAAAAAATAATCGCTCGTTTAACTTGGATACCAAAAAAACAAAAAAGATAGACATGTCTTTTGCTCCTGCGCAGTATCTTTTGGTCATGCCATGAAACGAAACCCTAAATGAAGGAAGATGAATTTGATACGCATTAAATTTAGCATAATTTCTATTTAATGCTTAAATTGCTATTCGTTCACATTTGCAATGAAATGAAATCCACAACAGATCCATTACAACATCAAAGGTATAGATTAAATTATTATGCAAATGCTAAATAAATCTTGATCATTATAAATGAATTTATTTTAACATCTTATTTATAGTAACAATAATGTAGGTCATCGGAATCTGTAGAATTATGATTAGAAAGATGATTCAAGATTTAAAAATAGTTCATCAATACAGCTTAGTCTATTAGAGTGAGAAGTAATTTGTCAAATGTATCAAATTACTGGAACAAGTATAGAGGAACGACCAGGAGTGTTACATCATTCGAAATACGAGATGCAATTTTGACATTTTTTGTGTACCAACATGTAAAATATATTCAATAAAATTGAGAATGGAAACGGGGAATGCGTCAAAGTGACAACAACCCGACCAAAGAGTAGAAAACAGCCCAAGGCAACCAATGGGTCTTCACAGCAGCGAGAAAATCCCGCACCCAGAGGCGGGGGCTATAGCTGGCCTCGAAATAATAATGTATATTAGTTCAGTAGCAT